GGTATAACGCAGCTATCGACAAGTACAATCTGCTTCTATAATCATTAAATTAGATTACGTCGACTGTTAGAGAAACAGATGCATATAGACATCACTACATGGAAAATTATCACTGCCCGAAGTATCTTTAAAGTTACTAGCAGCGTAACATTTCATAGAGGGTTTTGAAAATATATATTTTTAAAGAGATTTCACCCGACACAATGAGTCACCGTGTGTGGAAGAATTAGAAAACAGAAACATTACTATGGAGCAGGAACAATAAGAGTAATCAAGAGGATAGTACATATCAATTGATATTGCATTTAATTTCTTAAAGATTAAAGTTAACTGGAAAGCATGGAGCCAGAAGGGAGTTCCACAAGCGAGAAGTACGAGAAAAGAAACTATTAGCATAGAATTTACGGTTACATCTAACCATCCCAGCTCAATTGAGGGGATCTCGACGCCAGTCTAGTATTGCGCTTAAATTCAACACGTCTAGGTACCAAAGCAAAGAGCACATGCGAACAATTACCATGAAACTATTTATAAAAAAAGACAAAGGGGGGGAAAGTGACTGAGGCCGAGCCGTCAGATCTGGATATTGCTGATTCTTCTTTGGATTTTAAGGAGCTCAAGGTAAATAGCAGGAGCACTGGACCATATGTGGCAGCAATATTCTAAGCATGGACGAATGGTAGACTTATAGATATATATGATAGATTCTGGAGAGAAAAATTCTCACACCATGCAGTGAAAAAATTTCTTAGCAGCTGACCAAGCAAGAGATTCAATATAGTCTTTCCACTTCATGTCAGTTGAGAATAAAAATAAAAAGACAAGTGGAGATTCTATAACTTTAAAAGTTGTGGAGCATAGGTAAAATGTTATTTACGTGCAAGATATTGCATACGTATGTGCCAATATGTGCTTTAAAAACATAATTGTTTATTAAAAAGATTGACACACGAACTTTTACGACAACGGGGATTGGAATATCGCTTTCAGTTGAACTTTAGCTCCAGATGGATTTTAGATCAAAAGTAATATAAAAAAGATTTTGAAACAAATCTGTAAAAGTTGAGTAATCTTCTTGACATCATTTCCACAATAATTCTTCCTAAAAGACAATATATACTTTTTTTCCCATTCTGACTAATGTCCACATAATTGTTATCATCACAAAGTGTATCAGTCAAAAAAAGTAAATATTTCGATATAATATTTTTATTTTCCTTATTCTGAAATTAAAACAACAACATCAACAAAAAAACAAACAAACAATTACTATAATTATAATACACTCGTTTCAGATTATCATTTCCTTACTGTTTCTTCCATCAATAAAAACACACACGACACCTCATCGAGTTATAATGGCTACGAAGATAATCTGTCAGAGAAATTACCGCTGACAGTTCGATAAAGTACATCATAAAAATCTGTTGGAACTGCTTAGTAACCTTGACATATTTGAGAAGCACATGAAAATAATGAAGAGCCTATACTGTCAGCAAAACCGCCTACATACAGATAAAAAAGGAGTTCAGCAGATATCCAAATATAGAAAGCGGTGTACGACAAGGAAGCGTCTTCTTCTTCAACCTATACAGTGAGACGATACTGAGAGATTTAGAAATCTTATTCATTATTGATGGACACAACCTTAACAATATAAGATATGCAGTTGACACAGCATGAAGACAACAGAAATGGAAAGAAAACTATAAAAACTCCTAAAGAAACTAGCGATGGAAGGACTAACATCAACTGCAAAAAGACAGAATGCAGGGATGTTAGCAAAAGGATGAACCCAGATTACAAAGTGAAGTTACCAAAATCAAACAAGTACAAAAATTTAAATATCAGAGAACGGAAAGTGCAGCACTGAAGTCCCAAGGCGCATTGAGATAGCGAAAGATGCTTTCCAAGAGCTCAACAAAGTATTAACAAACAGAAAGATTTTGTTCCAAACAAAGAAAAGCGTACTGAACAGTTACGTGATATCAGTTCTCCTACATGGCAGTGAATGCTGTACAATCTCCTCAAAGATGAAGAAGAAACTTGAAGCAACAGAAATATGGTTCTACAGAAGGATACTGTGCATAGCATGGACCAAACATGTGAACAAAGAAAATTTTTTTAGAGAAAATAGAAACAAAAACGGACTTATACATAATATTAGGAAGAAACTGTTGAGTTATTTTAAGAGCGTATAATGAGGAAAGAGGGCTTGGAAAATCTGATACTCACAGGACAGATTGAAAGTAAGACGAAAATATATAGTGAGCTTGAGTAAATGGCGGAAGACGGTTTAGGAGGAATAGCAAAAAGAAAGAAACATTAAGAGCTACAAGGGACAGGAAGATATGGAGAGACATGATCGCCTACAACCTGAAGGGACATGGCTTATAAAGAAGAAGAATTACGCCTAGGAAATAATTTTTTTCCCTACAGTTTTCATCCTAAGACTGTATAATTTAATTTATGTATGTGATCATTAAGCCATCACTGGTACCATGTCGCGCATTACCACCTACCGTATCAGCAACTAAACCATTTTCCCAACATGTTTTTCTAGTAACGAGGATGGTTAGACATCTGTCAGGAATAAAACCAACACTTGTGGAGTTCAGAAGCTATGTATGCAGCCATTGTAATGATGACATAACATCACTAAATGGACTGCTTCCTAGACGGAAATCATCGGCAAGAGAGAACTCTTCCAATGGAATCAAGGTTAGGTTTCACATTTGAGGACATAGGCTTTGGTTTCACCTGGAGAGGCATGGCCTGCACCAGGTCTACTTTTTCAAAACACGCTCAGCATTAAAGAATACCTCTCCGACTTTCAACCCAGATATGTGTAGGGAACTGGTCAGCTTCTCAAGTACGCAGTGACCTTCGATCACACCCGACCATGATCATAAGGATCATTTGGTTCTCATAAAAATAAATATTAGCTGTAAATAGATAGAATGCATAGTTGTCAGCAAAAGAGACTATGCAAGGCGTGAGTTAGGTATTGAGGACGTAAAAATTAAGCAAGTACATGAATTTAATTGTGTAGAAAAATGTTACATAGAAATCTAAGGGTGCACAGAAATAGTGAAATATGCCTCTCCAAAACTAAGCAAAGTAATGTCTTAAAAAGACTCTAATATATTGTTAGAAACATAGAAAAAATACTGGATTTCGCTGTAATACCTAATCTCTTAACTCCACAAATGGGGATGAGTCTTGAAGCGAAAGAGATGTGATTCTTCAGAATAGCAGGGACTAAACAGATGAGCAACGGAGAAGTTTTAAAGAAAATAGGAAACATTATGGAAATTTATATTCATAATCAGAAAGAGACAGATGAAATTTTGGCCCAAAAAATTCAATCTGTCTCTTTCTGATGATAATAAGTAAAGTGGGCTTGGATAATTTAACACTCCCATGGAGTATTAAAGACCAGAGATGCAGGGGAAAATAACGACCAAGTTTGGGAATAGATTTAAGAATTGGAACAAAGATGGATGGTGAAGGGTAAAAGATTATTTTGAGCAACAAATGAGACGAAGATGTGGAGAGTAAAATCACTCCGATCCTGAGAAAACAAAGAAGAAAAGTTTCGACATATTCGGAATTGTATGTATCCAACTGTTACATAATTTCACATCAAACTTGTGTCATTGAAGGATTAGCATCTATTTAATTGTTACTAGCATCATCGTGAGCAATCATGATTGCTTTTCTTTTGGATCAAATTTAAGAAACGTCGGTTTTATCGACTCGGCTGACCGTCTCCAATTTTCCTTGATTCTGCTATTCAAATTACATCCATCAGTAGCAGTCAGTGATTAAACAACTTTATTTTCAATTCATGTCTATTTTCTTGTATGATTAGATGGAATAGTGTTCTGTTACCTCAATTCATTTCTAATGAATAGAGACTCGTGAATACTGAACTCATTTTAGTTCTATTCGGAACACAATCGCATTTTGTGCAAATCGCTTAGTAATTTTGAATTAATATAGATTAGCTGAACGATTAGTCTTCTTGCGACAGTTCAGAGTGAATTCTTGTACAGAATCTATTTGCTTTGTTCCAAATGAATGATTTTCATCCATGGGAGCCTTTAGAGATTAGGATAAGTAAAAATCAATAAGCATTAAGATGTAATACTCTTCATGATTGAGATGTTCTAAACTAATTGTGTATGTAATGTCATCACTTTTATATTATTTTTACTTGGCTATATTTTCAATTTAATACAAAAATGGTTGAAATTCGTGCAAAAAGCACCAGAAATAATGAAGCATTTCACGAACACAGTTAGTATAAATCTATGAGGGTCGGTTGGAAAGTGCATAGTCTGACCAAAATATAAATTTAAGTAGACCCGCCAGTTGGTAGACTAAAATACATGCATCTGTACCGGAATATAACAGCTTACCGATCAGACTATGAACGTTTCAGTCGACCCTTTTGCATTTTGATAATGCTTAATACTGATGATCAAACCAGATCCGGCTGAATGTCTTTGTAGCAAGTCATATCTTTACTTCTTTCATGTGCCATGTCCAAAAAGGGGATGAGGTAATAATGATTCTCCACATGACTTTTAAGCATCTCTTTGTTCTTGTTCTGTCATTGAATTGTTAAATATATAATTCCTTATTCACCCTGCTTCACTTGCCTGTAATATGCCTTGTTAGTGTTAAATTCTCCAGGCCCTCTTTACTCATCATGAAATTTAGTCTCTTTCTGATTGCAAATATACGATACCCTATAGTATCTATTTTCGTTAATACACCATCGTCTTAGTCGATAGAACCACATCTCGCTTCAAGTTACTTATTTTTCTACGACGAAAATGTCCAGCATTCATTGCCATATATGAGATTGTATATTACACTCTTTTCTTTGTTTCTAAGGGCATTTTCCGATTTCTTTATATTTTGCTTAGATTCCGATAAGCATCGTTCGCTATTCCTATATACTTCCGGGTGTCCGTATTACATTTTCTATTTATGGCCACATCACGTTGAAACACCGGTTCCCGCACGATCACTGAAGTTAAGCAACGTCGAGCATAGTCAGTACCTAGATATATGATCTCTTACGAATGCCAGATGCAGTAAGCTTGGATGTGTGGGTGGTGTAATGGATAATGACTCGGAATTGTTAATCGGAGAGCCGAGTTTCAATTCTCGTTGGGTTCGTTATATGCACTTACGCGCAAATATCTTTGAGGAAGGTAGAATTCACCTTTTATCCTCAGCTATGGGTTAATTAGTAAACCTGTATCAATAAACCATTATTATCTCAAAAAATTCTTATAATCTAAAACTATTTTAAATAACATGCAAAGAGATGATACACTGTAGAAAACGAATCAATCAAACAATTTTAATCATTTCACCCCATGCGAAGCAGTAAAGCCACTAAGACACAAGAGATTACTGAGTGTGAAAGAATAAGAAATAAGAGAAACATTATTAAAGAGCGGAAATAACAGAAGAGGAATCAAGAAGACAGTAGATAACAACTGACATTGTATTTAAATTTTTGAAGATTAAAGCTGGCTGGAGAGCATGAAACTGGAAGAAAGTTCCACAAACAAGAAGTGCGAGCAAAGAAACTGTTAGCATAGAACATACTGTTACATCTAGCCAATTCAACTAAAAATTGATGAGACCTTGCTGCCAATCTAGTACCGCGCTTAAATTAATAAAGACAATATATTATACCGAATAGTTCATCTGAACAATTACCATGAAAGTATTTATAGAAAAAGCACTGGGAAACTACATTACTCAGGTGGGAAAATAACTGAATCCGAGACGCTAGGTCAGGCACAAAGACATGGTTGATTTTCCTTTGGGTTTTATTAGAAATTTTTTTCTGTTATCTGTCTGATTTCTGTATCTTCTTGATTCTAAACGTCCGCAATACATTGGTCCCATCTTTTACTTATTCTGTCTTTTTATAGTTTTCTTTCTTTTTAAAATCTTCTCGTTGCTTACATATTTTGTCCATAGTATTATAATTTAAAATTGATGTTATTATGAATAGTACTAAAGTGTCAAGGCAAGAAAGAGAGAAAAAAATGCAACAATGCAACTGATCTTTAAAGAAGGCTCAATATAGAATCCGTTGATTTATAACTTTCATATTAAGGAAGATCGAGTAGAAGAGATTGAAAATCGGAATGAAAATGATTTTAAGATAGGAGACAGCGGAGAAAAGGTCAAAAATATATTTTTTGAGAGAATTGTGTGGATTGAAGAAATTAACATATGCAATGATTAAGGCTCCCCGAAGGAAAAATAAAAAAAAGAGGAAAAATTAAAAGAAAAGTAATCTTCTACAGAAAATTATAAGTTCGAAATTATGGTTTCTTTTTTAGCAATACAATATAATTGGAAAGCAGTCGATATATTTTCCCGCCAACCTTGATACAGACCAGAATTGACGTTCTCATTAGCACAATTTTTACAGACAGAAAAAGCTTCCACTTTCTGTTTATTTTTTCCTTTCGATAAAAACGGAATATTGATAATTTTATATTTTCTTTGGTTGTAAGCAATGGAAGTAATTAAGCTTCTCGAGTATAGAAATTCCGGTATGAATATTTAATGTATAAAAAAATAAAAGTACCTTGCAAATCTCCCCCACCCTCCTCTCTCTCTCTCTCTCTCTCTCTCGATATATATATATATATATCGAGAGAGAGAGAGAGAGAAAGAGAGAGAGAGGGGGCGAGAAAGCGCGATTCGCAACGAGGCTTTCTTTTTAGCTATCTAGATATATCTACAAACATATCATTCTGATTTATAATTTTACAGATATGGTCTACTCTCGACATGGGTTTAGATAGTAAATTGAATTTATTTATAGATATCGTAAAAAATAAATTAAATTTATTATTCAACTGCCTAACTTGTAGATACCATTTCTGCCAAACGCTGAATCGAGAAGATAAGTTTGAACATTTTATTTCATCTGTTTCCTATTAATTATACTCTGTTTCTTAATATGGAACACTTAATCCACCAGAAATACACTAGAGTTCTTTTTTGACAAAACACAATATTTATTATTATTATTATTATTATTCTTCTTCTTCTTATTATTATTATTATATAAAACCTATGGATCTAAAAGAGAATCCATGTATGTATCAATTTGCAGGTTACAGTTTTGTATGTAGGAGGCTGGATTTTTCTCTGGATACGTCTTTTCAACGCAAAAGCTACTCGCTTTTTCTAATTGAATGTTTAAATTGTATCAAATTTTCGATAATATTATTACAAGATTATTCCCATTGATTTAAATTGATTTTAATTCAATTATTTAAATTAATTATGAGTATTTGTTTTTAGACAAAAAAAAAAGCGAATAATAAAATTTTCAAGGTGATGTTTTGCATCTGGTATACGCTCATGCAAGTATATGCATTTGCTTATATTTTCATGAATTACGGCTAGATTCTAAGAAGAGAAAAGCATCTTTATATATATATATATATATATATATATATATATATATATATATATTAATCAAGAAAGATTTATTTTGTTTCATTATGTCTTATATAAGTGCTGCTGGTACTATTTAGTCCAGTACTGCCTGCCGTATAATCGGCGGCTAAACCGCTTCTGCACCATAATTTTTGGGTGAGCAGACACCGAATAGGATTAAAAACAATCAAAGGATCATGGGAAGAACGGTCACCTAGCAAATACTCGGAGATACCTGAATGGTCTCCAGGCGCGCGGTATGCCCACCGCGAGAGTTGGAGCTCTAAGCCTTCGTTAAAGTATCCAGTTAGGAGAAGGAAAAACTCTGATGTAACAGTATCCAAATATATTAACTAGTTCTTTTTGGGTACATATTCTTGATTAGAGAGTGGGATTGACCCAATGCAACGTCTTTCTCCACTATAAAAATTTCCTGCACATGTTTTGCTTGATATCGTAAGTCATAACTGAATATCACAATAATATCACAATAATAATATCTTGAGATGATCATACTCGGAAACGAGGTGGCACACGTCATGTTCATTTTTATTTAATATTCATTTTTTATACTGTATTTATTTGTTTATATTGTTTAATTGTTTTTTGTTTCTGTTTAGTGGCATATCAATCTGTATGGGTTATTTAATGCTGAAATCTAAATATTTTGTTCGCATTTATTTTAGATAGTAATGGTTTTAGCGATAGAAGTTTTACTAATTAACCCATAGCTGCGGGAGAAGATGTGGATTCGTAGCTTTTTCCAATGGTATTTGCGTGTAAGTGAATATCGCCCCAAAATTCCGAGCCACTATACTATACTTACAGCACTTGGTATTTACAAGCGGTCACCCATCTAGATACTGACCAGGTTTCACCGCTGTTTAACTTTAGTGATCAAAGTGTTTCAACTTGGCGCGACCGAAAGCCTTTATGTTTATGTCTTTTTTGCGAATTTATATAAAACTAGAATTTTTTACAACACTCTGACGCGTGCTGAATCTTCACATTTGTTGTAATTATCGCTAACGTTTTTGTCGAGATTTACAGACCCTACGTTTCTTCCAATTTCGCAAACCAATCGATGAAATTTGAACAAGCTGATTTGTTTGGAAAAAACTTTGATAAAAAACCCTAATTCGCGGTTTAATAATTACTGTAATTTGATTTTATAGGACTTCGATAAACATTATCTTTTTTTCCTTTTTCCTTTTTAACAGCGAAGTATAAATTCTTAAAATTTCTTACTCTTGAGCATGCAACATACAATAGAATATACATAAATATTTCTTTCTAGAGCCAAATTTCAAATTTTTGAAGCTTTTGGCCTTGTGATTTGTTTATAGTTCTCGCAGACGCAGAGCGATCTGGAAAATAGATTCTTGTACATACAAACTTAAAGAAAAGATATGTAAAAAATAACATTGCATTTTTATTAAATTGTTTTTAAAATAGTGGTAGTATTTTGTACGTTAAATTTAAAACAAATTTATGAAAATTTATTGTACTATGCTACACATCCTAGTAAAACTAACTGTACTTTGTACCCCCTTACCTATTTTCATTTCTCCCTGAAATTTCGTTTCGATCGGTCAATGTAGGGCTATTTTAGAGGGTGTGTCAGACAGACGAACTAACGGAAACCACACAGTTTTATATTTAGATAACAGAACTATTTACTGAATGGCTTTCTTAAATGAATATTTATAGAGTAAATGAAGATTTTCAGCATCTTTTTGTAAAGAAATTTAAGCAAAGTAAAGTGAATTTTTGCAATTGTACACATTTTAGTTATACAGAAATCCGGACAAAAACGAGTTCTTTTGCAAGCAAAATTGATTCATTTCTAATTGTTTCTAGTCTTTCAATTCAATATCAGAATAATTATCATAATCATCTTTAAAGATTACCGTCTCGGATTGATTAAAAATTACTTGCCTTAGTTGGATGCGTCATAGACTGCCTTCTCTGTGATTCCCTGATGAATATTTCCTCATAGATCTACCAGTGACAAATCCCTAATAGGATGACTCAACAGAAGTGCAAGAGATATTACGAAAAAACAAAACAAAAAAAAAAAAAAAGAAAAAAAGAATCTTAATCTTCTTTCAGAAGCATTAACATTAAAAAAAAAAAAATCTAATCCATATTTGTCGGCGTGAAAAATTTGTCTCTTTCGGATAAGTATAAGTTTTTTTTCCATTTTCCCTAAAACTTCGTGGATGTTCAAATGTTCAGACTGTAGTATTTTCAGCATCCTTCTGTTGAACTAATTTTCTGTTTCTTCAAATCTTTTCTTCATCTGTGTGGAGTTTTATCCAGCATTCGCAGGCATATAGAGGGACTGATTATACATAACAGTTCATTACTATTTTTTTTGTTTCTAATAGACTTTTCCTGTTTTTTAATACTTTGCTTAACTTTTGGAAACCATTTTCGCTATTCCAACGTGTCTTCAGATTTCAGCGTCGCTCTTTCCGTACTCTGTTAAAACGCTTTCCAGATATTTAAATTTATATACTACCTTGATTTTAGTATCACAAATTTGTAATTTGCATATTGGGATGTTCCCATTGCTGACAACCATACGTTCCGTCTTCTTACAATTGATGCTTAGT